TTTGGACTAAGAACCGCGCGGATCTCTCGGATGCTATTGATATCGATATGAATTTGAATAAATATGACGTGTGCTTTATTTTATATTCCTTATCAGTCTCAAAAAGAGCTAAATCTATGATTGGGCTGTCTCGTTGTGAATAATGCAAAGCTTATTACATAATCCGTAATGCGCTTTCACATGTAGTTAAAGCCTAGCGGGTAGATAAAGAAGTTCAGCCGCGAGAAAGCAATTACATTCTTTTATAGTCTGACTTTTATGTTGTAATGATTAGCAAAAGTACCCATTAAATAAGCGTTTGTGTACCAGTTGAAGTTCCGTATTCGGTGCATAACAGTCTCCTCCTTTGTTCTTCATACATGATTAATATTTTTGTTACAGATTACTTTAACTAATACTTTGACTTCCGCTTAGAATTTCGCGGAATCGGTATGATCGGGTGCTCGTTTTCTATATGATATGCGAACATTTGATCTATATCGCCCGTTTGCATAGTAGTTGCTTCCCCACAAAACGTTATGAGCACAATAGTTTTCAGAAAAATGAAATGAATCTATTTGCTCCCTTTTATTCGTATGCGATCGAAATAATTTAAATCAAATATTGGCTATGTTTTCTTAAAGATCTGTCTAACAATCGCTAGGGAAAGAGGATGATCGAAACACTTCAAATAGAACTATGTTGAAATATATTATTTCTCGGTTGTTCACAATGGGGCAAAATAAACTTTATTTTCTTCTTCGATCGATTGCTAGGTCTCTAATGGTTCTAGAAGTGTTGAGCCTGGTCTCTTGTCAGAGCGCCATTTTGCGCTTCGCTGCGCTGTGATGGGATTGTGTGTTTGAGTAAACTCCCTCCAAAAGTGCCTCAGTGAAAGCGCTGCTCGCGGCTTCGCAAAATTGGAATGCTTTTGCAAAAGTTGATGCGATTTGATTTCTTGGGCAGCAGTATTCTACAAAACAATTCCTTCGGTGTATCTTAACTGTCCATTCTGTGGGCTTAGCGCATTGCCACTCTAGATTGTTGTTTTTTTTTTGCTTGAAGAATACTCTTTCTGGGAGTAACG